GGTTTGAAAATCTAAATTACCTAAAGATTATTTTCACGTCCAAGATGACGCAAAAGTATTATTTAGGACCAAGTAATGCGCTGTTTAGATTTTGCATCAATATTATTCATAGTTAACATTTACATAGACGTACATATATATACTATACATAATACTTATGAGTGTATACATTTATGAAACATTTGATTTTAGATGAGGATTACTCAATATCAAAACCATCGACATCTATCGCTAGTCAAAACCGTTCATCAATAGAAAATTTGGATGAAAGTGAAAAAACCTCTGATAAATCTGGAAGTGCAAGTCAAGAAAACTGTTAGGCTAATATTAATCCACAAACCTTCTTCTTCTCCTTACAGTCTCCTATCAGGGNTTATGAAAATAATAAGGCTCGTAAAGGATCCGCCGTACTAAAGCCCGGTCAGAAACCTGCTATCAGGGCCATATGTAACACGACGTTACATTTTTGATCAGGGCGCTGTCAGGCTGCCTTAACAAGACCTTATCAGGCAACAGGACAAAACTTAACGCGCCCTTCTTAGGACCGTGTTTGATTTTCTACTAGGGAAAGTCTTTAGGGCGCCGGTGTTTCGTCATCCGCGCATTAATTAAAGCGCGATCCCCGCTCTTCTCGAGTCGCACACAGTTTGGGGCCTTCAGAAGTAGGACCTCGAGAACGCGTCGCGGCTAAGAAACATCTCTTCGAACTTTCGACGCGCGTCGCTCGGTGCATTGTTCCACAAAACAAAATGATCGGGAGGGGATAGAATGATACGTGAACGCCGAAGTCATCAACCGATCCAAAGTACAAAGTCTCGTTTTAGCTCCGATTTTGAAATTCCAACAATTCTTCTTGAAACGATTTTTATTTGTCTTTGAATTTTTTTTTGCAATCTTAGAAATTTTCAACTCCGCAAAAACTTTTCCGTAAAAAATTATAAAAATTATAGTACGTGCTTTGTCACTTCAGTTTCAGAGGAAACTGTTGAAAAAGTTTCAACAAAAAAAATAACCGAACTATAAAGAATTTTCAATAAATCTTCAATCTTGCTCGACAACTTGATCTGTTCGAAGTCTTGTTTTGTTTTTTTTTTGTTTTTATTATTATTATTTTTTTTTACTGTTTTATATTTGCTGTTCTGATAAATCGTGCCACGTGGTTCTCAATGCGCTGCTGCGATGTGATCTCAAAAAAAGAACAAGACAAAAGACACACGGTGAAAGCGAATGCAGATGCGACCCTACCAGTTTTTTATACGTGTGTGTACACACGTATGTGTGTACACGCGCGCACGTATATATACGTACGCACGTGCGCGCGCGCAGCCGTCAATGACGGGCGGAACGTGTGCGCTATTGTGTATCAAGGTGTCATTCTGCCACGCGACGTAATCGCTACGCGATATCGTGAAAATTACTTCTGCAAAATTGCACTTTATCTCGCGGACGTAGAAAGATTATTTTCCGAATGTATTTTCCCGAGTCGAGCAAACATAACTCGCCGCGATAATTTTGAATTATGACACATTTCAGATTTCGAAAATCACTCGAATCATCTCGATCGATTGTCAGTGAGAGAATAATTTTTTTTCCGACAACATGTACGATTGAAATTTTTTATGTGCGCGCTTATCGAGCACGATGTAATAAAGAAGAAAGTTTTTTCGGCGCATTTTATCTATATCAGATGCCTGCGCAGTGGAATGTGAGCGTAGGTCACCGTGTCCTTTCCGCTCCTTCTTCGTGAAAGAAATTTTATCGTCCGTTCCGCTTCCTCTCGCCTCATCATCTCTCTCTCTCTCTCTCTCTTTTCGTATAACATCCCCCTTTCCCCTTTCCCTACCTCGTTTCGTTCTTCAATCTCTCACGCAGCTCTTTATCCCCGTTTCATCTCTATCTTTGTCTTTCTCTCCGCTTTCTCTCCCTCATTCTCTCTTTTGCGCGAGCAACGACGTGCCGCGACGTAGGCGCACTTTTATTGAATATCGCTTGTGCAGCGAATTTTACAATTTATGTAATTTTTATACAGGGTGTCTGAAAACTTTCGACACAGCCAAAGATTGGGTTGATTCGAACGGAAAAGTCGTGTATGATTTTGCAAAATTTGCAACAGTTGTCGAGTGATTAATTGATACGCGTGATCCAATGGGCGCAGGGTTCGGACTTTTTGTATGATTTTCAATCGTGAAAATCAGCTGATCGAAAAGAAGCTGTCACGCGCCACTCGTTTTTGCTCCGCCTCTTGCTGTTCGGAGATTGCATGAAAGCGAGCCATTTTTCTTTAAAACTAAAAATCCATACACGCCTACAGAATGCGGACCTTCGCTTCCCACGCGCCCATTGGGTCACGTGTATATCAATTAACCGTTCGATTTCTATTGCGGATTTTGCAAAATGGCACATCACTTTTCCATTTGGATTGACTCGATCTCTGTCTTCACACTTTGACTTTGTGTCAAAAATGTTCAAAAATAGACGTTACAAATTTGTTTAACGAGCAATAACGAGCGCAATTTCTCTAAGCCATAAAATTTTTCTAAAATGATAAACGAATCGATTGAACGAAACTAGTGACACGAAGCTTATCTTCTAAGCTTCGACATAAATAACTATTGTCGATCTCTCGGTCAAAGAGTTGCACACGTGCAAATTAACGCCGATAAGCGTTCTGTTTTTCCGTGAGGACGTGTATCAGAGCGCGATACTTTACTATGTAATCGCGCGCTGATAAGTGCGCTATTGATCAGAGCGCCACGCGCGATGTAACAATAAATAAAATAGCCTCACGACGTTAACAAACTTGTTTTTTACGTACTTAAAAATATTTTTACGAACGTGTGTTTAAAAATAAAATAAATCTAAATAGTTTATACGTGTGTTTAAAATTAAAATAAATCTAAATAGTTTATTAATAGTTTATATAGTATTTTAACAAGAGAGTATTTTAAAAGCGCATCTTGCGAATCTTAAAGGTACTTTTTTTACGTGTTATTTTAGTTTGATATTTGTTTATTGATTTCATCTGTGTGTGTAATTTTATTAAATATCTACATCAAACTTTAATCAATCAAAAGTAAACGTATTAAAAATTAGTATTTGTGTAAATCGTATTATTTAATAAAATTACACACACACACAGATAGAATCAATAAAATATCAAACGAAAAAAAAAACAATAGTGCAAAGTACTCGATTTATATATATTTATCATTTGATTTGTCGTGTAGAGATTGGCGAAGGGTTCAGCGAGCGTCTAGATACGCTTGTGCACTTTCCCGACGTTCGTCACCCTTTTACCCGTCTCTCCCTCTGTGGCGAATTACACGCGCAAGCCGAGCCGCCGCCGACCACGTCGACATCCTCCACGTGCTGCGGCACTCGGCTCGGCCGGCCGAAATTGTAGGTCCCCATCAACCGTTCGTTCGCGGAACGTAGGAGCGGGGGACCAAAGTAAAAGGGAGAGAGAGAAGCGATATAGCATTGGCGACGGACGGGGTTGGGATGGGCAACGCGAGAGGAGCGAGAGAGTAGAGGGGTTTTGCGCTCGTTCGTGCGCGCCTCGGTCGAGATCGGCGCGACCGAGGACCGAGGAGGTAAACATTGTACAGTACGATTGGCCGGTTCCGAGGTGGCGGGTCTTTCGCTTTTTCTTCCTACCTGTCTTCTCACGTTTGAGAGGGAGTCGCTGATTTTTGAGTTCCACGCGACACAACGTGTTTCCCCGATAGAGTTTTCGTCGTCGATTGTTCTCTCTCGATCGTCGATTTTAAATCGCGGGACGATTTGGCGAGTTTCGCCAAATTTGGTTTTTTTTTTGTATATTCGACATCGCACCATCCTGGGACTGCCTTTTGGATGTTACGAGCGGCGGTGATAAGCAGCGCCCGGATTTCGGATTACGCTCGAGTGTTACATAGCGTGCAGGTAAACACACGATATATCTGTTCGATCTTCTCCGTCGCACTTGGTCTTACGTCATTTTCCGTCTATTTTTTCAGTTTGTTTCTTTAGTCACTCGAGATGACGTTACATATAATTCGCGTAATACTCGTGTTCCCTTTAACATGTTTGTAAATTGTGTCGATTGTGTACGACGTCCGTTTTCTTCTTTTCGCAAAGTCTCACAATTCTCGAAACTATCGTTTGAAAAATTAAAAAAATTCAGAAATCTATTTTTTTTTGTCTTTTGAAAAAGAAACATTTCTTGCGCGACATTACATTAAGCAATTAGCGTTACGTTTGTCATTTTGGATCTCAAAATATGGAATAGATTTTTGTTTTTTTTTTTTTTTTTTTTTGGTCGTAATAATCTTGCGATAGAACACGATGTGGAAGGCGTGAGATGACGTTTCGGTAACGTGACACGCGTTTCGGAACGAGCCAACTGTCATTGACTTTCACAATCTTACGTCATCACATATTTAGTTCCTGATGTCTTTTGGTTCCTTTGTCTTTTTTTGTCTCTTAGTGCGCACTCTCAATTCGCTTCTATGCGTGACTTATATTTATAAAACGCTTTTGTGTATGCGTGTGCGTCGGATTGTGTGAGTTTGGAGAACCCTATCACAAAAACGCGTGTCAATAATCGCAAATCGATTCTCATTGTTGTCTTTCCGCTTATTGGTTCTTTCTGCTCGTATTGCTTAAACCGTCGTCAAATGTTACGAAGTTTTAACAAGATTTTTTTTTAGCTGCGCCAATTAAATAGCGCGCACTTAGAGTTTGTGATGTCTATTATAAAAAAAACGCGTGTACTAATTAGTTTAAAATATAGCATAATCCATCATTCGTACACGTCATTAAAATTGAAGATAATGTATTTAAATATTTGTCACTCTTATTCTTAAAATAAAAATGCGTTAATTTATGCATTTTTAAGTCAGTAAATTATTTACAGTAGGTTTAGATGTACACGCACGCACATATTGTGAAAAGTAATATAATGCGGGAAAAAACATTTTTGCTGAAATAGCAGGAAGAGTATTAGTTACTACACGATCAGCAAAAAAAAATTGCTAAAGCCTGTCAAATTTGTTGCTTTTGTCTCAATGACAAAAAACATTTTGTTACTGACGAAATTCACATCTGACTCCTTTGATGCCACGAAATGATTGTCCGATATATTTTCGGCATATACAAGCTTATAAGTGTCCTAGGTACAAATATTTATCATTATTTCTTATCGTCTTCTTACAATATATCTAATAACATCACATAACGAACAATTCAAACGATGTACAGTTTCTCTGTATTTACAACGCACAAATACAGGATGCCGCAAAATGATTGTCTGACATATTTTCGGCATATACAAGCTTATATAAAACATAAGGTGTTTCCAAATTTATGGAGGATAATACTGCATTAAGTATTACTGAGTTAAATACTGTATTAAATACCTTCAGTTGCTACTGAGCTTCTCATTGTAACAAGTTTCAAAATATTGTACATCATATGGCGAAGCAAAATAACATCAGCGATTCTAATATATTGATAAGGACCTAAAAAGAAGGTCGAAACGTTTATACTTGCTTGTTTCAAATAAATCAACTTCATACATTTTTACACATCAACACCAGTGTTATGCTCTAACTGCCTTCAACCACACTATTATTAAATACCGAGATTTCTCAAAAACTCGCAATTCTAACGTCAGTTTGATAAACATTTTAAAAAAGCAATTATCGAGAGGAAAAAGATTAACGGAGCTTGTTTGGAAAGCTATATCATTCACGAAAAAAAAGAAAAAAAAACCCCGGAAAGCGTATATAAAACACAAGATCAGAAGCGGCATCATCGCGGGGATTAGTTCGGGAAGAAAGAGAGAAGAGAGAAAAGGCGCGGTCCTATTATAAAATTCGGCCGAGAATGTCTTCCGGGCGTGAGCAATGGTGGTAGTTTGGGGCGTAGGGCGAGATTTCCCCCTCGGTCATGGGGGAAATGTTTCCGTGGATCAATACAAAATTTTTGCGTGTCCCTTTGTGCGTGTGTGGCGATAAATTCGGACCCGAATTAGAGAACCCGAAACATCGTCGAGGAAGGAGCACTTATCGCGCGCAGCTCTCTCGAGAGCGAGATGGAAGAGGAAAGAAAGAGTACGCCGTATGCGATTATCGTTTTAAACGTGTGTCGCCGCACTCTCCTTTCTTGTGATGTAACTCGACGTCCTTACTGCGCGCCGAGTTGGACGAGGTCGGTGATCGCTATAAAAAAATGCCACTCGCACACGTGGAGGCGGTTGCGCAGGTTTCGGTTGCGAACGAACGAGGCGAGGGGAAAAGGGAGGACGGACGGAAGAGCCGGCGAGAGAGATATACACGCGGCGCAGCCGCCGACCACGCCCGCGGCCTCTCATCGCCCCGCCGAGCGATGATATCACGCGCGTGTATGTACATCACCACTGGTGCGCACGCACGCGTCTGAAGCGTTTTAAATCAAATTTTTAATCGCGCACAAATATTTTTTGTTTACGTAATCGACTCGTTTTTTATTTCCCGCCTTTTAACTCCAGGAATAAATTAAGAAAAAAAATGTAAATACACTTTTGACATTTTGCGCTAGATGCTCTATCGGATAAGAAAAATACTTGCTGCACAAGTGTTTTCGACCGATAAACCGGCGTAAACATAGGAGGAAGAAGATCTCGGTATTTAATTTAACGCTTTAATAAACATCGATTGGATTTGAAGATTTTTTAAATTAATTTCGATTTTTTTAACACTGTTTAATTTTTTATATTGAGATTTTCGAGTTTATAAGATGAATCGCGCGCGCTTTGTCGACAATTTTCACAAATTGTTATAAACATGCTTTTCGTAAAAAAAAAACCGACCGTAACTTACCTTCCATATGGCAGTATTGTGTGCGCAAGCAGTCGTTTCTTTTTTTTTTTTTTTTCAAGAGCGATAATGGGACAATTGCTCAAACACGTTATTGCCGCGGGAATCAAGTGCGTGCGTTGAATTGACGACTCGTTATCGCTGGATTTGTTGTGTTTGTCGAAAAAACTTGGTGCGTTTTCGATATTTCTACGTAATATATGTGGCTTATCAATCCTGAGAATTAACCCACATAGCTTTTATCTATAAAGAAGTTAAACTCTTCAATTCTAAAGATTTTTCGCGTCACATATCGGATCATGCGATTATCCATTGGAAAAATGATACGATATTAATATTTTTCTATTCAACATTTACATATTTATATGCGAACGCGCGATATTAAATCAAATCGGACTTTGTACATGTGTGCTCTTTTTGTTTTTTCTCGATCTAGTTTCCTGTCTTCGATGTTGGGCTATTATCAAACGGAGTCGATACCTAATCCGGCGATGTCGATTTCGGCACCGACCAGTGGCATGACCGCCAGTCTGGAAACGATAAACCCGGTGAAGAGTCTGGTTTGCAGTCCGGACATCGCGATGTTCGCCGCGTCTGGTTGCAACGGCACGGTTGAAACCGGCGCTGATCCGGTAAGCCCGTCGTCGATGATCGCGGACGGCGGAAAGTACCAGTGTCTACTCTGCCAGAAGAGTTTCGCGCAGAAAAACGTGTACCAGAGTCACCTGAGGTTGCACGGTAAGGACGGCGAGGATCCGTATCGTTGCAACATCTGCGGGAAAACGTTCGCCGTCCCGGCGCGACTGACACGTCACTACCGCACTCACACCGGCGAGAAGCCGTACAAGTGCGAGTACTGCAGCAAGTCGTTCTCGGTGAAGGAGAACCTCAGCGTTCACCGACGTATTCACACTAAGGAACGGCCGTACAAATGCAACGTGTGCGGACGTGCGTTCGAACACAGCGGCAAGCTTCATCGTCACATGCGCATACACACAGGCGAACGTCCACACAAGTGCACCGTGTGCGCCAAGACGTTCATACAGAGCGGCCAGCTGGTGATACACATGCGTACGCACACAGGCGAGAAGCCGTATGTGTGCAAGTCGTGCAAGAAGGGTTTCACCTGCTCGAAGCAATTGAAGGTACATACGCGCACCCACACCGGCGAAAAACCCTATACCTGCGACATCTGCAGCAAGGCGTTCGGATACAATCACGTGCTCAAACTTCATCAAGTGTCCCACTACGGGGAGAAAGTGTACAAGTGCATGATCTGCAACGAGACCTTTAATTCGAAGAAGACCATGGAGTTACATATTAAGAAACATCCGGAATCGCCGGCGTCATCCATCACCGCCAGTGTCACCGACAACGGATTGTCCTCACCCGCAGCGATCGGCTCGCTGATCGAGCCGGACGTCGAGATCTCCCGGGGTAGTAGCGGCTGCGGGGGCGGCGGCGGCGGTGGTAACGGCAACGGGAGTAGCAACGGCGACGATAACAGTCGCGGAGGTGGTCTTCGTAACAATACCGGTTCGATTAATGTCCCGACGACGAATTCTAGTTTATCCGGTGTCACCACCGACAACAAGGAGAACCTAAAGACTGAAGAGGCCTATCCGGATTCGACGACGCCGAGCCCTTACGCCGTTCAGCGCGAGTTTGCTTACTACCTGTACTCTAACAACAGAGATCAACAACAACAACAACAACAACAACAACAACAACAACAACAACAACAACAACAGTATTCGCAGTCGGTGACAACGCCGCCCGTGAGCACGGTGGAACCTGTACTGACCGACGTCGACGAGAAGCGTTTCCAAGCGAGCGTGGTGGTGAGCGCGCCATTAGAATCAACTCACCACGTGTTCTTCTATCCGGAACCGACGTACACCAGCTTCGGCATGGTCACCGGCGCCGGCATCGACCTCGACACCGACGACTGCTCGTCCTTGCTAAATCTGCCGGGTAACGACGCGCGTCGCAGGGTCGAGGCCGCGTTGGAGGCGGTCGAGGAGGAGCGCCAGAGACAAGAATACAGCGTCGGGATCAAGGTCGATCGAGACCCGCTGCTCATCACGCCGCCCAGCAGCAATCCCGAGAGCCCGGTGTCGTCGCCGGATCTAGCGCTTGATCTGGCGATTCCGTCGCGAGAAACGTTGATTTTGCCGCCGAGAAAACGCAGCAAGATGATTCTTCAGTCGATGGAAAGCGAGTACAGAAATAACAGCCTAATCGCGGCGTCTCAAAGGCAAAGCTCCGTCATACAGTTCGCTCGGGCTTCATAGTGAAGAAACCAAACGTTCCGTTCGATGACGTCGAAAGTTGATGGAAAATCAATTTGTTGCAGGACACTAGAGAAAGAGAAAAAAGGAGCTTACACACGCCTTTTTTCGGCGGTGAATCCTAAAGCGCGAGTGTACGTATTGCAACTCGCCACCTTTCTGTTCGCGACAGAATAAAGCTGATAGCGCTAAGAGTCAGCCTGAAGATCGAGAAGCCATTACTTAAATAATAATAACAAACTATACTAATAATAATAATTAATATTACAGTTTTTTTGTCTCGTGTATGCATTTTCCTAATAGCTCACGAGCGACGACACCCTCGCGACTACCTCCTCCGATCTTATTTGATAGTCTCTCCAGGCCTTTGAGGCTTTTTTAAACATTGCATATAGATAAATCAGAAGTGTGAGAGAGAGTGTGTGAATGCGAGAAGATGGAAACCGGATTGTTCTTTTCGATCGCGCTAATTTTGGTAAAGCGTGAAATAGCGTGAACACACGAAAATGCGTCACTCAAATCGCTTGAGATAAAACATTTATGTTTTTCAAGAAAGAAAAAACTTATTTAAAAATTTATATGGAAATTTTATGGAAATGTCCTTTTTTTATGAAAATCCGAAGAAAAGGTTTGTTTTTTTGTTGAAAAATTTACATATTGACTTTTCACATATATGTTTTTTTAATGTCAACAATTTAAAGGTTTTATTTGTAGATTTCATTAATTTGTTTTACATATTCTGTGTTTTAATGTATGACTCATGCGCGTTATTGAAGTTTGTTCCCTTGACATTGAGCGATACGAACAGTCAAAAATGGGAGACTGGATGCATTTGAATGTTTTATTTAAATACGGATCGAGAACGTATTTGTGGCAACAGCAAGCCGTTAAAATAAAATACCAGACATACTTCTGTATAGCATTCGTAGTCGTGTAACTGACCTTTACGGCAGCTATTGCTAGCAACATTACGTGATCCGTTTCACAACTACCGTTACAACTGCCGAATTCATCAGTCAACGAACTCACTACTTTCAAATTGTCGACCAATGTAAAACAGTGATAGTTACCCAATATTCTTCCCACGTTTGGTTCTTGCGAATAATTTATTTGTCCCATTTTTAGATTCAACTTGCGACGTGTGTGTGTGTGTGTGCGCGCGCGCGCGCGCGCCTGTGTAATTTGTTAAACTCGTGCAGATTTTATACTCGCCCGCTCCTCCCCCTCTTTTGCAGTGTCAAATTGCACTCTGAACATGCAAGCACGTATAATCTCTCTCTTGCCTTAACAAGACTGACGATAGTCTACCTCCTTTCTCTCAAGAGAATCCAGAAGAAGATAAATTTTCTACAACTGCACTGCAAATCCATGTGTGTTACTTTAACACATTTTTTCTGTGTAATTTTAAGATTACACGCTTATCCGTGTTATTTAAACACACATAAATGTGTAATATGATAATTTTATGCAGATTGCATGTGTGTTAAAATGCGTAAACATCTAAAATGTATAATAAAATAAAACATAGTTTTAAACACAAGTTTTAGACATGTTAAAATAATACATATTTCTCGTTTTACACGTTTGAACAGATAAACGTTTCAAAATTAAAACACTTCAAAAAATACACATCAAAATTGTCGTTGTCTCTGCGTAGAAAGTTGCGCGCGCATCAATCTTTCTATCTCGCTCCTTCCAGAGTACAGAGATATGTTAGGACAAGTACAGCGCGGCGGAAAGAAGTGTGCTGACGTGCAATATATGTGTTTAATGTGATTTGTGAAAATTTAATATATTTTTTATTTAATATGAAGAAGAAAGTGTACTGTTTAATCGGTGAACGTTGTAAACGCATTACGTTTTCATCTAAAAAATATATCTCTGACCTTCAAATTGTACGTGCAACTTTAATAGAAGCCAGCAATAACGATGTAGTGTTACAATCAATGATCAACAACAAAGAAATCATTTTACAAAAGTTTGATGCCGATCGAAATAATAAATTATGTGATATTGAAGAAGATGATGAAATTGAAGACAAAAGTGAGGTTAACGTACTTTTTTTATATGAAAAACATAGACGTATAATATATAGATTGCGCGTTCCCTACCTTTGCCATGTTAAGAAAATGTCTTCAACGTTGAGAGAGAGACAGCTGGTGTTGAATAGTAGCCTTATCTTTGTCTAGCGAAGTAGTAGGGTAAATGATAGAGAAAGAGTTACTATTCAAAGTATGTTGTCTCTCTCAACGTTGAAGACATCTTTTCAGCCAAACGCGCAGTCTATATATTGTACGTCTATGATGAAAAACCATCAACCCTCGTACTCGAATCATCACCATCTACTGGTTTTATTTCTGATGTTTCTCAAGAGAGACAAATCAATGACACGTATAACATGAACGTCAAAATATTACATACTGAACCAGGTGATAAAAGTTTGGAAGCTCGACGTTTTCTTAGGAGAACAAAATAATAATGTTTTAATATTTTTAAAGAATACTGCACTATGACAAACTTTATTATACCATAGTTATCTAAGTTTTTCACATTGCAGCTTTTTTGAAACATAAATATTATTATTCTGTTCTCCTATGAAAACGTAGAGCTTCCAAACTTTTATACGATAATATGTCGTTTATTACACACAACAAATTATACATTTAAAACGTGTTAATTTAGTGAGTTAAATCAACACGTATTAAGCGTGTTCCAATTTTAAACACTAAGAAACGTATTAAAAATGACTTCAATAAAAACACACGTCAAGTGTGTTAAATTAACACACTTGGATTTGCAGTGTAGGAGCGTTCGGCTTTGCCAAAACGTCGATCGGTTGCAATTCAATTCCTTCACTGCCTTTCAGCCCCAACGAAAGAGAAAAAAAATAAAAGATGAGATTAAACAAAAACAAAAAAATTAATCGAATGAAAAACCGGTCGTGCGTCTTTAGGAAATATTCAAAGTTCGCTCCGAGAGGCCCACAACCGTGCACCACAAGCGTTTTCTATTATTGTATGTAGTCGTATGCGTGCGTGTGATAGAGAAAGAGAGAAAAAACTTACATACAAAATGTACAGAAAAAACGAGACAAATGAAAGAACAAGAAAACTTGTTAGTTCTTGTTACGGGGTATCGTCGACGTATTATTGCTTTTGTGAGAATTTAACGTCGGTCGTTATTTAGTGCGTGAAAAAAATTTAGTGCATCTACATTAATCGGCGTAGCCAGACGATACCGTTGCGGAAATTCTAAGTAAACAACAACAACAACAACAACAACAATAAAGGATTTATATGCAGTCCGTGAACAAGAAGAGAAGAAAAGTGGAAAAAAAGTGTATCGCACACAATATATCTCTGTGATAAGAACTCAATAGTACCGGAGTATTAAGCGCGCGAGAGCCGAGCCCACTGCCAGTACAAGCGTATATGTGCACATGCATGGCTGGTGTGATGATGCGAAAAAAAATCACGTTATGCGTACGAAGATAAGAAATTATCGAGCTTTATCGATGTACGATGTAACTCCGTTTGTGATGGAGAGACGACTCTCAAGTTTTTGTTTTTGCTTCTCTTTTTTTTTTTTTTTTTTTTTTATCTACGCACATCCCTCGATTAACGCGTATTTTTAGCTTCCAAACAAATCTCATTCCGGCTTGCAGTATTATTCGCAATAGTCGATAACACCCAAGTGTTTCTCTCAAACACACGTTGTATACATTTGAAAGAGAGAGAAAGAGAGAGGAGAAAGGAAAGGAGGGAGAAAGACAAAGAGGTGGGAAGGGGGGAGAGAGAAAGAGAGACCTTGAGGAGAGACGCTTTCTCGTTCGAATTGCTCTGACAAACTGAGTTTCACCGTAAACACCCGCGCAGTGATAACACACGCAACCCGCTCGCGACCCGCCTGGCTACCATAACATGCGTGTACATGTATGCGTTCATCTAAGTAACAATAACGAGTAGTGTAACTTATATCGTGTATATATATACATACATACATACATACATATATATATATATATATACATATATGCTATATTATCGCGTCGTTTCTACGGGAATATACCGCGCGCGTCCTACTCTTCTCGATACATGTACCATATAGATATATATATATATATATATACTTTTCAAAACGCTTTTCTTAAGCGGTGATTTTAGTGCAATCGTAATTTAACAAAAAAAAAAAAGAAAAACCGTCGATCGATGCCCGATCGATGTTCCGATCTTGCGAGGGAATTCTCTTTAGATTCGTAGAATTTATTTATTTCTTTTTTTTTTTAATTTATTCTCTTTAGATTTTCTAGAAACTACATTTTTGTCCCCCCGGAGCGCACCGACCAAAATTCTGAAGCTGGAATTCGGAAACAAATTAACACGCAAAGTTTGTTGAGTTTGAAATTTATAACTTTGGTAGTTTTGAAATTTTAACGTTTTTTTTTTTAACACAAATTAAAAAAAACTAATTGCGCGCGAACTTATTGCGAATAAAAATTGTTGCGACGCGTTTTTTTTGCACGATGAAACCTGTGTGTACAACAAACAAACAGGCCACGCGGTATAACAACACCAACAACTTAAATATTACTTATTAAGTATTACATTAACGATGAAAAAAAAAGTAGCGTAACGATATGTCATTATTGTTAGCATATAATGTCTATTATTATTATTATTAGTATTATTATTATTATTATTTCAATAGAATTATGCTATTGTAATATTATTATTGCCAGATATGTTATATTCTTATTTTTATATTACGTTAATAATATTATTATTTACTATTGTGAAACACCGTGTACATATACATATATATATATGTGCAATATATATATATGTATATATATGTACATATGCGTGTGTGTATGTGCCAGCAAGTTTTTATCCTACATAGCTGGTATATACGGAACTGATTATGCATAAAAGAGCAGTAAGTTTTTTGTACAGAAGAAAAATCAACAAAAAAAAAAAAAGAAAAACACGAAACACACCATTTCGCCGAGCATTTCCCATTTCATTACACACATTTGTTGTTATACATCATCATCCGAGAGTAAACTTTCTCGCAAAAAAAAAAAAAAATCGACCGAGAGCAACCTCTATTTCGAAGTACAAGCGGGAAGGAGGCTCTTCTTAAGTTTAGAGAGAGTTGTATAAAAAAATTTATTATTGTTTTTGTATTTATAAAATTTAATATAAATGAGAATAAAAAAAAAAAAAGAAAGAAAAAACTTTCCAAATGTTTCATTGGACACTTCAATCGCAATCCGCCGCCCTTCCGCGCGACGAAATGCATTCGAGCGAAATGCAGTTGCAAGGCATTGAGATCACCTGGTTTGGCTTTGGGAGATTTCGTGCACCGTGCGCCGCAGGATGCAGCAGCGTTGGTTGATTTTTTTTTAACGCTGTCCACGATTTCCAGATATTCGCTTCGCGATTATGCTTTCGAATCGAAACGTATATACGTACACAGTTACAAGACTCGATTTTTAATTCTAATCGATTTGACAAGGGTGAAGTTACACGCTTAGATCGAAGTCGCGCACAGTTTCGGATTTGACTCTTCCTGTAATTTCCCTTTGAATTAAAATAACAATTCAGAGAAATAGAAATAAAACAGCAGTAAAATTGGCAAAGTAACAAATTGGCAGTAGAGCCAACGCAGTTGTTGGTGCCTGTGTGTATAATATTTATTACTGAACATAAACAAGTTTAAACATTTAGACCTTTGGGTTTGTGTCCTTCTCAATATAATTTATTTAACATGCAAAACTGGAGTTAGAGCTACAAGATATTGTCAAATTATACGCGAACAGTCACAATAAGTTAGAGAGTGTATCGAGTGTCTCGGGAGTCACATAATAGTTGCGTATTTTTTGGACACAGTGTATTTGTTCGTTCATCCAGCGCTGCGAATAAATATCTAAAAAAAAAGACGACCAACAAGCCGACTGAATTATTAATTTAAAATTCTCGTCATTCTTAAAAGAAAATAGGCGCGCAAACGTCTTTTTCTTTTCACTCAAATTTATTATTTTTATTTTTAATTCTTCAAAAATTATAAAAACACATGTTGAATTAGAGCTTTGTTTTATTTCAGAATTATTATTTCAAGGTCTTTCTCGGTCTTTCTATGTAACACGTGTTGCAGTTTTTTTTTAATAACAAAATTTAAAAACCAGATTGCGCAATCAGAAACGAACATAATTGAACAAATCGCGCGCACATATAACACGGGAACAACAAATAATATTTCTAATTGACACATTGATTATTGTGATTAAAAATATTGTGTTATCCACCGAATTGTTCATAGTGCACGTGACTACGTAGTTACGTGTCGAGAAACGTGCACATTGCGGCGCTCGAGAACGGGATATAAACCACTTGTGTTTGAATCCCTGCTAAATAAAGTGTTTTAGCCGAGACTCAAGCCATCAATGGTTCGAATCTCCGCTAAATAAAGTGTTTTAGCCGAGACTTAAGCCATCAATGGTTCGAATCTCCGCTAAATAAAGTGTTTTAGCCGAGACTCAAATCATCAATGGTTCGAATCCCTGCTAAATAAAATGTTTTAGCCAAGACTCAAACCACTAGTGGTTTGAATCTCCGCTAAATAAAGTGTTTTAGCCAAGACTCAAACCACTAGTGGTTTGAATATCCGCTAAACAAAATGTTTTAGCCGAGACTCAAACCACTAGTGGTTCGAATCTCCGCTAAATAAAGTGTTTTAGCCAAGACTCAAACCACNACAAAATGTTTTAGCCGAGACTCAAACCACTAGTGGTTCGAATCTCCGCTAAATAAAGTGTTTTAGCCAAGACTCAAACCACTAGTGGTTCGAATCTCCGCTAAAACGGCTAAAATTAGAGCTGCCATTTACCCTCATCATCCGCTTTTCACCAAACAACGCTCGGTGTCAAAGCGCCGGTGTCTGCATGGGGATTCAGCCTGAGAGCTGATATTTGATATTGGAGACGAGATCTAAGATTTGAGAAACGACTATGAATTTGGACCTCAAAGAATAGAAAGGAAGTGTGATATTCCGAGGTTGGTAGAAATATGAAGTAGCCACACAAATCAAAAATAAAATGGTGCGGAACAAAGGGACTGGAAATCTTTGTCAGAAATGTGCATACACAAATAAGTTGTATTGTATTGGAGCGTGTGTTAACAACACAATAGGAAGGTGCGTGTCGCTCGATTCTCTTTTCGCCATCGAATTCCGTCAATGTAACGAATAGTTTTCCATGTAACGGGCCCGTTTATTTCCTTGGTAAAAATTGTTGGTGTGTGTGTGTGTGTGTGTTCAGAGATTACACATGTATACAACATACAAGTAACGGTTCAGACTACATGTCATTGCGATTAAAAAAAACACATTGGATTTTTTCGCGTGTTGTTGCTCTATTTTGCACTTGATACAAGTTACTTGTGTGTAAATGCGGTTTTGTTTTTCTTTGAATTAATTAAATTTGTTTGTTTATTTATTTAGAAATGAATTATTTACAGATGTTCAGTCCTGTACAGGTAAAACATGAATGTACAACTGTGGAAGATGTGAACAGCACGAGTAACACGAGCATCCAAGATAATTCCGTTTATCCTATTTTTATCAATCGAGATGTCGAGCACGTGTCCCATCATCACTTATGGGTGGAAACGCAACTGTCGAACGAGATCCCTGTGAAAACTGAAATTTACAATCAGGAAGCTATGTTCCAGACGCAAGTGAGTAATCCCTAAAGTCTGTCTCCGAATAGTCTGCTTGTTATCTCGTGATCACTTATCTAATTTGTTTTAGGAACATGAGAGCTTGCCGTATATGAAGGATTATGTGCAAAATGACATATTTTATGCGATCAATCAAGAACACAGTGACAACCAAATGCAGACGAATAACTTGTGTCATCAGAACACAAACAGCACTGTTGTAATACAAGAGAACAAGCAAACACCGCTGCTGCAAGATTTGCAGAACATAGGAAGTATCAATCAAACACTACCGCCTAAGTCATCGACCTCTGCGAAAAGCAATTCTCTCGAGAGACTGTCGAAAAATACCGACGACTCCAATATGGGGAAAAAGTTGAAATACAAATGTGAGATATGCTTGAAGGAGTTCGGACACAAGAGCAATTTGTTCATACATATGAGAACCCACAACGGGGAAAGACCTTACAAATGTAATCAATGTGACAAGTGCTTCACTCACAGTGGGAATTTGGCGATCCACATGAGAACACATTCCGGCGAACGACCGTACGCCTGTCAGATATGCGGAAAGATGTTCAGCCACAGTGGGAATCTATCGACTCATCTGAGAACTCATTCAGGGGTGAAGCCGTATAAATGTAGTGTGTGCAACAAAGAGTTCAGGCATAGTGGCAATTTGTCGATACACGAGCGAATACATTCTGGAGTGAAACCGTTTCACTGTAAAGTTTGTGGGAAGGAATTTTATCACAGCGGTAATCTGACGACTCACATGAAGAAACATCCTGTAAATACAAATGATTGCAAAAGTGAGCAAAGGGACGTTAGGGGATACGCTAATGAGGATGTTAATACTTCTTCTTCGGACGTGTCATTAAATGATATTAAATCTAGACGTAATAACGTAGTTCCTACGAAACAGGAGAGCACAGAGGATATGCTATTAGATAGTGTGGGAATATTAACTCCTAGTTGAAGTTTTTTACTTAACACTACAACTCGAAGTGTGAATCATATAATCTGTTACAATCTATCTCAACTAGCCGTATTGTAATAAAATAAATTTGTTCTGTGATGAGAAAGAGGTACGAATATATAAACTTTCCTTTTGATCTAGCAGATAATTAAAGAACCATTAATTTTCTTTTGATGATTTATCAAACAGACTCTATGGTACATAGAGTCAACTGTACAAATAAGCTGCTTCCAGATCTCAAAAAAATGTGTATTCTTTCTTAGAATTATTTATAATATATATATATATATGTATATATATATATTATTATTATTATTATTATATTATTATTATTATATATATATAAACAAAATGTAACAATTGTTACACAAAGAATTCGTCAATATTTTTACCAATAAGTATTTGTAACAGGTTATATAACTTATTCCGTAAGTAATTTGAAAAGTATTATTAAGAGAAAACAGAGAGAAAATAAGGAGGGGCGGGGAGAGAAATAGATTTTGTCTTCAGCATTTTTTGCTCAACGTTGCATTTATGAGTAAAGTTTTCATTATACTAATGAAATGAGAAAATTGTACGTGTGTGTTTTTTTATTTCTGTACCTTTACATACAATAATACAGTCTCTCCAAGCCTGAAACGTAATATATTATTGCATGGTAAGATGAAAAGTTTATCTGGCAAATATTTTATATAGATTTACGTAATAAGTCAGTCAGATGTTTCCGAGTTACTAAAATAGGTTCTAATATTACTCAACAAAACAAGTAAGATAACAATAAATATTGACAAAAATATTTTATTTTATAAAAAAACACATTATTTTTGTAAATAATTAATCTTTCGAGATTTGTCTACTAATTTCTATTTACGTGTTTTTAAATAAATTATGTAAAATTTATATCATAATCTTGTCTTTCTTCGAATTAGCAACTTGTAATTCTCAGTAAGTTTTTTATACAAAGTGCAATGCATAATAAAAAAAAATGTATAAATAATAGCGTGTGAATGTGTGTGAATCTTACTTTGAGCTATATTCAACCTTATATGTAATAAGTTAATATAATATGGTAATGGATAAAATTGTTAAAGGTTTGTCATTAGTTTTTACCTATTCCTTATAGATAAAAGTTATCTTAGTGAACTATTTTTGGTTTTGCATATCTGCATGAGACATACATTGGCTGACTTTATATTTCATGAAATTGAATCAAGAAATTCTGTAATAACTTTCCGTTTTTGTGACCAACATCACGATATGTGGTATATGTATAAATTTTAATAGTGTAGTATATACAGGGTCTTCAGAGAAACATCTCGCTTTTCTAAAATACTTTCGAATTCGTAAAAACAGTCTATTCACTTAAATCAAGTCTTAAAAAATATTCACAAAACAATGAAATAATTTTGAGCCTTCTTAGAACCCCCTTCTTAGAAGGGAAACGTCATTTTCGATTTTCACCCTGTATATATATATATATATATACAAAGTAGAATTTTTTATATATATATAATGTACATATTTATGTGTATATATAAATCTCTCTTTCTCTGCGAAATCTCTATTCTCTAGTAAAAATATAAAAATATCTTGTTGTCAATAGACTTACCACTACTCAACATTTGATAATAACTTTATATAAATTTTTTCTTTAAAATGGAATGGATTTCAATGAGTTTCGAGTTGAGAAACTAGATCCTCTCTAATATTATTGTAAAATTAATACTCTAATCTCAATTAGTAATATTAAGATATATATATATGTATATGTATAAATATGGAATGTTATAGTTTGTTGCAATTATTTAATGTCGGTTATTTGTTCATTGGTGTAGACTAGTACCTATACCGTTATATCATATGATATTTCCTATAATAAACACATTTGTTTTTCTGCGACACTCCAATATGGTTTTTTTTTTTTCACAAAATAAATATCTACTCGCTCAACAAAACAATAATTTTTACACAATATTAACGTACAACCTTTAGAGGGACTGTCATGTTTCGCGGCAAACGAGATGCGAGAGTTTCCGCTATGTTTTCCGAAAGTTCGTGCCACAAGTATTTTCCGATTATGGGCACGTCTTCCAGGGGCAATTTGAAGGACACTAGCAATGTTAAGCACAGACCATCTCCACCTTGCCCACCGCTAAATTCTACGGACAACAAACCATGCGGCTTGTGTGGCGCCACATCATTTCCAAATATTTCCTACAAGGATATAACAAATCCATGAATATATTTGCAGGAGAGTTATTTCCCTTTTCTATATTTTGTGTGTTTTTTTTTTAACTTACTGTCATAAAGCTATGCAGAGTGGACAGTAAATTGTGATTTGGACTAATCTCACAAATTGGTGGGTTACATCGCTCACTGTCCGATATAACTACGTGTAGTCTGTTTCTATTAACAAAATTTGTTATTATTGTCTTTCTCTCAATTCAAATCAAACAAGCTATATTACACATTATACATGTAAATACACACATACTGTGTAACTGTGTGTGTGCGCGTGATTTAAATGTAACATCATTACAACTTACGTCGCTCTCTTCTTAGACGTGACAATTAATCTCAACAGTAGCTTCGCGTGTGATTTGCTTGTGGGCATCAACTGAGGATGCTGAGAAATCTTATTGGAAACGTAATTCTTGCCTCTGTCGAGAAGATATATTATATCATTAGATCTCAGTGGCAAGTCGTTTATGTTTCGCACCCAACAGGCCTGAAGAGACTCCTCGTTTGCCTGATCAGGTGTTTTCAGAGTTCCGCCTATTATATCACCGGTGAACACGAAACGAAACCACGTGCCGTTTGCGCATTCGACCAGTATCAGAGTGGTCGGCACTATCACCAGACCCGTCTCTTCCAAAACTTCTCTCTTAACAGCGCTCACGAGATCCTCGTGTTTCTCCACTCTGCCGGCGGGTAAATACCACTTCCCGGTGCATGAAGCCTTCGCTTCTTGCATCATCAACACCTCGCCTCGATCATTTATCACGACGGCGGCTACTATGTAAGTTACCGTCTTCATGCAAATGGGAACGTAAGTCGTTAACTGACCCGATTTTCCACCTGCAATATAATACGTTAACATTTCAGTTGTAGCGAGAGTGCGACTTTCCTCTTATAAAAAAAAAAAAGAAAGGTATGTGCGAACATAAGACAACACAATTTGCTGCCCACGGACACACGTTGGTTGACGTACCTGCTGCGTCGCTTGCGAGAACATGTATGTTATATGTGTCGCTTTCCAACCCTTGCCCAGCGAGCAGTGACTGAACTTGATTTTCTATAAAATCTGACATGTTAACACCTGTGTCGCGTTTCGCGCATGTATGTATGTAAAACAAATCACCACAGAAATTCGCAGAAATATGCGCGCGGGGGATATTGTGCGAGATCAAGGCAGGTGACTTTCCCTTCAGCCGTTAATAGCGCCAACGAGCGCCTTGATCGACCAACTATGGCAAACGCTGCGTCGCATCGATAATGTTATTTTGTTCATCCTTCTTCTTCGTAATTTTATCACATTTTTCCATCAATTTGACGGATATATATATTTGCAAAAATTAAGAGTGGGAGTAGATTGGAATGTGGTTTGGGAATGTTGTTGGATTTTGCTACGCTGCGTCAGAGGAATTGCAGAGATCTTCTAATAAGTCACGCAGTTCACTGATGTAATTAAGTAAATAGAAATATACATACATGCACATAGAATTTTTCTATTGATTGGATATCTATAAAACTCTTTTTTAATCACATTCACTTAATGTTGTCTGGATTGTTGTGGAATATAAAATTTTTCTAGTACATATGAATCTTTGAGCGCATTTCTATCTTTTATAATGTGGAAGAATTTATCTTAATTTTTTATCATTCAGAGAAGCTGATAATGTAATTAATGCAATATATATATATGTGTGTGTGTGTCTGGGACTACCTACAATGGACAGGTAATCGAGTAATTGAAATAGAAAAGCGTACAGCGTGCGTTGCTCTCGATATGTTTCAATCTTTTTATTTAGATATTATCGACATTATTATTAGTATCATATATAAACCGTAACGCATCGCAAATAACATTTTTTTTTTTTGTAACGCCAAATGAGCCGCATTTTGTTTTGTATAGGCAGGTAATAAAATTTTGATTAACTATAACACATGTATATGTATCGATTAGAACGTTGTACAAACTTGCGTTGCAGAGTTTCTCCTTTTTTGATACAGAGATCGGGCGCTATGAGAACTAAACTGGTTTTATTTATAAAAGAATCGTGTCTAAAACTAAATGCTAATAATAATATATATATATATATAACTGCGTTGCAAAAACTTATAGTTAGCAATTAACTGAGTTGAGGGATGTGTATGTACGTGAGCGAGATTTGTGTATAACTTTGTTGGATTGTATATTTACATTACCGCGGGAGAAAATTATTCGAATTTCGTATACTTCTCAAAATGATCTTCACATGATTATCCTCTCTCTTTCTCTCTCTAACAATAACACAATAACAACAATATAATCTTCGATTTGGATTCGATTTCATGAATGTGTTCGCATTAAGTAATAAAAAAAAATCGAAGATTAATTTATTTTAACGCACGTAAATCAGGTAAATTCGGATATACACGTATATATATGTCCTGTTGTGACAAGAATTCCATCGTAATACTATATAAAACGGTTATTATAGTATGAGTATTTTCTTCATGGGACGCGGGCGCGCATAAGCAAATCCCATCGTACCCAATGTCTGTCCGGACAATTTACGAGATAAATGATCAACGTAAATTCCTGAGTTGCGTTATAACATGTTTATTGTTGTATAAGTTACGTATGTGTTCTATTATCCTTTTAAAAGTAATCTAAATATTTTAAAAATATGATAACATTGATATATCTGTTTGTTTGTTTTTGTTTTTTTTTTTTTTTTTTCAAATCACATTACAATCAATTCTCTATATGTGTGTTTGTGTGTGTGTGTATACATAAATATAATTATCACCTATGCTATAAGGACAATTCACTAGTCTTTACACTTCTGTATTTACAATTATCCTAACGCCGTTCTTGCTCTTTTTTTTTTTTTCTTTTTTTGTTCTCGAATAAAATCTGCGCTCCTGATTCCACGTGATAAAATTCTCCAAATTTCTATGCTATAAATTATTTCATAAAAAAGCGACTGGCTATTTTCTCTCTATCAATTCTTTCTTCAGTTTTTTTTTTTTCAAATTACTCTACTCGCGAGTACGTAGGAACGCAAACTTCTCACGTTCGTATTTCTTTAAAAATCGTTCTCTCTTATAAAAAGAATTTCGGTATAATTGTTTTCGTCATTGGTTTGTTTAAAAAAATATGGCATTCAACTTATCAGCGCGATTACCGCGTGGGAAAAGGTTCGCCCAGCGAAGCCACACGAATCTTTTGTTGGTGCGAAACAAATCGGACATTCAAGGAGAAAAGCAGAGAGTTTCCCACCCAGCGTGTGATTAGATTCTCATTCAACGCGTTACTCGATCTGCAGGTCTTTTCATGACTAGAGTTGTATTGCTTACTCCGTATGCAAACGTATGTACGCAAGTTGCGCGATTTCTGATAAAAAAAAAAAAAACGAATCGTCGACCAAAAAGACTTCGTGAAAGAGTCGTGTTTTCTCTCGCGTGTTTGCTTCGCGCTGATTTTTTGATCTCCGTTTTCTGCTCTCTCGCGCGATAACCTTTTCTCGCTCTGAATTTCACACACAGTATGTGTATAGGAACTAATCTTAATTAATCTTAGAATTTAAACCGCGCTTGCGCGAAATCATCCGCGATTACCACTCGATTATCGATTCTTGGAACGGAGAGTCGCTACGTTAAAAAAAACAAACAAAAAAAAATGAAGACGCTATACAATCGCTAAAATGAATTAAATACAGTTGAAACAGTAAAAAAATCAGAATTTTCGAATTATACCGGTTGGCACTCTATTGCGGGGACACGCGCACCAGATGCGATTGATGTGTTTCCGTGCCGGCGAACTTCCCGCGCAAGGCGCGTCGTAGACAGAATGTTGGAAGCGCGTTTTGATGATAGACCGTGAAGTGTGTTGGTGTCAGCTCTCCGCCCGAGTTTCTCGCGCAGAGGGAAAAAAAAAAGAACGCACTCATCGTTCATTCATTTTGTGTGCCGACACAAATCTCGTTTCCCGCGGAAACCAGATCTCTACCCAAATTTTACCCCGGCACCGTCTTTCCCTCACTGATACGATATTTGTCTGAACATGCTGCTGATCTCTTCCATCGTCTTGTTCTTCGTCTCCGGCACTTTCTTGTAAATGAAGAGGGTGAAGAACAGTTGCAGCGCGGCGAAGATGATAAACACGTAAGCGCCCATCGCTTCCTGCAGCGGCAGGAAACCGATGCTGACAATGAAGTTCGCGGTCCAGTTCACGGCAATGGCGATTGACGTGGCGGGCGGTCGGGCGGACTGATTAAACAGCTCGGACACCAGGAACCACGGAATACTTCCCGGTCCGGTTGCGAACAGAACGACGAACATGATGACGAGCACAATTGAGAAGTACGCGGCAGCTCGCGATGTTTCCTAAAGGGTGGGAATAAAATATTTTCGGTTATCGCGTTATATTTTGTTTCATCGTGTAGCTACAACACGCTGAAAACCGAAATCGATGTAAGTTACTCACAGCAAATATGAGACAGATCGCGAGCAAGGCAGTGTCCAGAAACATGCCACCAAATCCAACCAAGAGCAACGTCTTTCTGCCCGCTTTTTCCACCAAGATTAGCGAGATGATGGTCATGAGAACATTCATCGCGCCGACTCCCATTGTGGCGTTCTGAGCGGCGGTCTTGTCTAGCTGTGCCATCGTGAAGATCTTGGTCGAGAAGAACATTACGGCGTTGATACCCGACAATTGTTGGGCAAACATGATCATGATGGAAATAAACAGGGGGATGCGGAGCGCGGGATTAACGAACAACTCGCGTACGGTGACCTTCGGAATGAGCTTCATCGACTCGTACTCCGTTCGCATCTCTTCCATCTCATCGTGAACCTCGATCGTGCCGCGTACCCAGGAAAGCGCTGCGGGAAAGAAGGAAACCTTATTTCAAAGAACTTCTTCTTGTTTGTTTACTTTTTTATGTGTTTTGTGTGATCAATTTCATTTCTTCCGTACCTCTTTGCGCGTCCATGTCCTTGCCGCGACTGAGCAGCAGGTACTTGGGACTCTCGGGGCAGAGCGGCAAGGTGACCACCTGGAAGATGGCCGGTACGATCGTCAAACACAGCAGCAACGGCCATTGCTCATTCGTGCCTAGTATCTGCTCTAAACCGAGGATCTGCGACACCAGGATCGAAATAGTGATGACCAGCTGGTACACTGTGCCTACGGCGCCTCGCAGATGCACAGGCGAGATCTCAGCGAGATACATCGGCGCAAGACCGGCGTTCAGTCCGGAGTTGATACCGATCAGAAATCTGCCTATGATTATCATCTCGTAGCTCTTCGCCGCTTTGGCGCTGCCCTCGAAGATCACGGTCGCCAATACCAGGATGTTGTTCAGCAGCAAACCGCCCTTTCGGCCGAAACGGTCCGCCACCCAACCTACCAGAGAGCCGCCGATCATCCCGCCGACGCAGAATATCGACACCGCCACCGACCAGATGAGCGTCACCTCCGACTGGCTCGTCGGCACGTTCGTGCGATTCATTTTCAGCTCGCTGATCCAGTCCTCGATAAGCTGTCGGACGTTGAAACGTTCATTCATTTAGAGAAATATTATTTTACATTTACCGAAAATTAAAACCTCAACAAATAAATCCAAAATATATCAAAATGCAAAACTGACAGCCAAATTTTTTTAATCGAATCGCGAGAGAAATATGTACCTGCTGAGGCGCGTTAACCACACCGGTGTTGTATCCATGCTGGAACGACGAACCGAGTGCGGCAGCTGCTATAGCGAAAGCTAATCGGCCGTTGAGACCCTGTTCCAACAGAAATCGATGATAATCAATCAGTTATCAGGATAACAGAAGCGCGATATGTGGTTTCCCGAATATCGTACAAAGAGACGTACATGTCGTACATGTCAAAAACGTAACAATTTTCAACAAGAAATTGTTTTCAATCAACGCAAATTCAACTTTGCAACGTCATTCGGAATGACGTTTTATGCATTTTGCATAAGACGCACATTTGTCGAGTTTGCCGATGAAACATGTAATATATTAATGAAGCGATGAATATGTAAAATTACGTTACATACGCGCGCGGCTATTACCTATCTATAATGTTATTAATAAATCTTGCTCGCGCGTGAGAACAAATCGAAGGATCTAGCATCGCGCGAGAAAAATATTGTTATTCGAATTCTCGTAAAATAATTCCGTGTTTTTACACCGAAAAAATTGTATTCTTGTTTTGAGAAGATATCCCACTTACTTTAAGTATATTTTATACTAAAATAGGCGCCAAGAAGAGTTTCTTATTTTAAGAGGAAAATCCTCTAAATAGTAATATTGATAAGAATATAAAAAGCCTCTATAGAAAAGCATATATATCTCAC